AAGGATGGCACCCTGCCCATGTATGGCGCCAATGTTACCTGCCTATATCCGGGCCTGTATGGCGATACGCTCCGTTCCTATAAAGGCCTGTCCGATGCCCTCGCCGACTCCGGGTATGCGGTGCTCACTTATGACAAGCTGGAGTATACCTATACTACCGGTATGGGCACTATTACCTACCGCAAGTTATGGCTGCCGGTTACCAGCGCCTTACGCTACTTAAAAACACGGGCAGACATCGACACCGGCAATATGGTATTACTGGGGCATAGTGAAGGCTCTACGCTGATCCCTTATATCGCACGCAGTCACCCGGAGGTTAAAGCCCTTATATCGCTGGCCGGCCCACGCCGCTCTATTTATGATACCGTCCTATCTTACCAGCTTCGTTATATAACGACTACTTGTGGCGGCGATACTGCGATGGCCAGACTACAGGGCGAGCAGTTAATGGACTACTTCAGCCTGATACGTTCCGGAGGCTGGAATGCAGCTACCCCGCCCTTTGCCGGCATATCAGCCGCCGTATGGAGTGACTATGTAAAGGTGTCGGATTCCGTTGTTATCAATTATAATATTGCTGCCAGGCGCACGCTTTTTGTCGGGTTGGGTGATGATATGAATGTGCCGGTGAACACCGAGCTGGAACGATTCAGGAGAGAAGTAACCACAGCAGCCGACTTCTATGTACTACCCGGACTGAACCATTACCTGACCACAGCCACCAACCCTGCCACATCGAAAGTGCTTACCGATACGCTGGTCTACTGGCTGCGCCGTAATGTGGCGGGCGTCTCCGTGCCTGCGATACCCACCGCTGCCCGCCAGCTATTTACGCTGACGAAAAATGCCGGTACTTATACCCTGCAATGCAACCAGGGTCAGCTTCGCAGGATTGGCCTGTACAGTGCTGATGGAAGGACTGTTTTAAAATCACAGCTGTCCGGCAATAAGTATCAGCTTCCGGTAGACGGCCTCGCGCCTGGATTGTACCTGCTTTCTGTAGAAGGCAACCAGTCGGCGGAAGTGCTGAAATTGCAGTTATGATGCCTTGCTAACCCTGCTGGTCTTTGATTTATCTTTTGATCAGAGACGTGGAAAAATAGCTCTCCTTTAAAATTATAATGCTCATTCGCTATGAAACGAATGAGCATTTTTTTTAAAAGTTATTACGTCTTGTTTACTTGTTAGGCGGGGATTTCCCGGAACAATCTTATTAACTAACCCAACTTGCTAGTTATGGTGATTGAAAATCAATAAGGTAACTGTACCCATCAGCGACCGGACCGGCCTTAGCGAATTTGGCGTTAAGAAAATGCACGTAGTGAAGCGTTAAAAAATGCCCACTGTTTGAGCGTAGCGAGTTTGGGGCATTTTAGCGTAACGTAGTTTATTTTCAGCCAAAGGCGCGTCAGCCTTGATCTTTTGGTTCTTTTGCATCAAGGCAAAAGAACTTAAAGAAAATAGTATCGGTGATGCA